CGTCAGTCCCCGACCAGGGCTCGAACTGTGCCCCCTGGCGGTGGAAGCGCAGAGTCTCAACTACTGGACCGCCAGGGAAGTCCCCATTCTACGCAAGGCTATGCATAGTATCCCGAAGTCTGGCCCCAGCCCAGGGTACCCAGGTGTCCCTCCCCCACTGCCTTGGGAAGGGAAGCTGTACAAGAAGAAAAGGAAAGAGGCCCCTCAGCCCTTGTACTCAAAAGAGGCTTCTGAAACTCGGCAGAGATGTCTCAGGTTGAGACAAAGCCCTTGAGCCTCAGAGGCTGACTGTAGGATCACAGAGGGGTTCTCTCCAGTTGCCCGCCCCCCAACCTTTTTATAGAGCAGGGAGGGTGGAGAAGTGGCATGGCGGGTCCTTCCCCTCTCTGTGCCTCTGTTTTCTCTTCTGTAAAGTGGGACAGTAGCACCCAGCTGATGATGTGTTGAGAGGATAAAAGGAGTTAATTCATGGTTGATAAGAATTAGTTAGAACAAGTCCCAAGGAGAGATACAGACAGGCCTCCTTGCATAAGCTAATAGGGCCATGCAATGACTGAGGGCCAGATCCCCAGACACCCCACAAGACCTTAGAACTTAGAGGTGCTGGGCAGGAAAGAAAAAAAAAGCCAACTGGACTAGAAACCCTGAGCTGACCAGGATTTCCCTGAAATGGCTAAAACTACAGTCCTGCCATCAGCCAATATCAGAAGCCAGTTAATTTTTTTGCATTGACTGCCAGCCACGAATCCACCTCAAGGGGGAAACGCCTGCTTGCTGCTTTGCCCCTTTCCTTTCTCCAGGGCTGGCACCCCGCCTCCTTTTCTGGACAAGGATTGAGATCTGCAGCTGCAGCAGGCCGATTCTGGGGGAGAGTCAAGTCTGAAGTCAGCCTTCCCTGGGCCTCCTGGCAGCCCTGACCCCTGAGATAAAGGCCTGAACATCTGGGCACTTTCATCTCATGCTGGTCTTGTTTGAGGCCCCTCCATGTTCCCTCCATCTCCTTTCCCTTTCCTCCCCCTTCCTGCCTGCCTTTCTTGGGGTTCTCCCTCCAGATGCAATTCTTTACCTTGTCCCTGCAACAGACTCCAGCCCTAGTGCTCGAGGCAGCTTGGCAGGGCCTGGCCAGCCCCGTTCCCGGAGAGCCGTGTGATGTGGCTGGCCGACTCCTCACCCCGCGGCCTTGCAGCACTGCCCGCTGGGCCAGGCCAGCTCTGCCAGGACACCTGGGAGGAAGCCATCTCTGGCTTGACAAGGAGAGGTTGTGAGAACGCCTGACACCGTTCTCTGGAGAGCGGCCCGTTCGCCCATTCATTCATGGATTCAGCGAGCTGTCACGGCATCCAGGTGGCCAGAGCTGAGCCGGTTTAGCCCCGCAAGTGCAGGTTGGGCTCAGTGCCTGGGATACAGTGCCCTTTGCCCAGGCCTCTGGGGCTGGGTCTCAAGGCATCAAAGATGGAATGCAGAGGAGGTGCTTAACGCTTATTACATCGAAATGAGCAAAAAGAAAGGAGTTTCTGCCACGTACTCTACCAGAACCAGCACTGGCCTGGGGCCAGAGGCAGATGGCCCCGGGCCCAGAGCCCTCCTCCTGTCCTACAGAGAGCTGCCCGGAGTCCCCCTGCCCTCCTCTGGGCAGGCAGGAGCCCGCAAGCAGAACAAGGTCTACGGGGAGCCCCCAGGTGCATGCGAAACTGTTTAAAATGCTTTTGGGTGGGGTTCAGGCTCTGGTGAGGACTAGAGCCACCCGAGGGAAGGAGAGAGGAGTGGGGACAGGTATTTCCGGCATGATTTAAACCTCTAGACACACACCAGCTACTGCCCTCACTATTTGGGTTCTCACTCTCTCAGCTGCTCCTCCCACCCAGAGCCCGTGCCCCTGCCTTCACCCCTGGGCTTTTCTTCTCTCTCAGGGCAAGGGTCAGCTGCCAGCTTCCCAGGGGGCTTCTGCCCAGCGTGGCTCCCTGCAGCCTGGTCAGGTGACCTTTGAGCTGTGGCTAATGGCAGGGCACTTAACTCACAAAGGGAGCTGTTCCCCAGTTTGGAGAACTAATCACTTCAGGGTGAAGTGGATTAATCATTTGGGACCCAGGGACTTCCCTGGTGGTCCAGTGGTTAGGACTTCACCTTCCAATGCAGGGGGTGCAGGTTCAATCCCTGGTGGGGGAGCTAGGATCCCACATGCCTTGTGGCCAAAAATCCAAAACATAAAACAGAAGCAATATTGTAACAAATTCAATAAAGACTTTAAAAATGGTCCACATTAAGAAAAAAAAAATCACTGGGGCTTCCCTGGTGGCGGAGTGGTTGAGAATCCGCCTGCCAATTCAGGGGACACAGGTTCGAGCCCTGGTCCGGGAAGATCCCACATGCCACGGAGCAACTAAGCCTGTGCGCCACAACTACTGAGCCTGCGCTCTAGAGCCCGTGAGCCACAACTACTGAACCCGCGTGCTGCAACTATGGAAGCCCGTGCACCTCGGGCCCGTGCTCCACAATGAGAAGCCACTGCAATGAGAAGCCCGCGCATTGCAACGAAGGGTAGACTCCGTTTGCCGTAACTAGAGAAAGCCCACGCGCAGCAGCGAAAACCCAACAGCCCCCAAAAATAAATTTATTAAAAAAAAAATCATTAAGGACCCGCCACAGGATTGGGGCTCCCTCCCTGAAGCTGACCAGGCCCCTCCATGTTTCCTGCTGCTGCTGAAGAGACAGAAGAGCTAGATGGAGGAGGGCCTCGGGTTTGGCCTCAGCCTTGGCCTCAGAAAACTCAGCTCACAAACCCTCCCTCAGGGCTCCCCGACTCAGTAAATGGCACCCCGTTTACCCTGCTGTCCAGGCCAAAAGCTTTGGACTTCTCAATGTGTATCTTTTTATATCATTTGGCTTTAGGCTTTGAACAGTGTGACAGTATTACCTATTCAGAAAATTATAAACTTTTTTTAAAAATCACGAACAAGGCAAAAACGCACGTGCACGCACGCACACAGAATCTTACCGTTTGCCGCAGTCCCGATCCAAAGCGCCATCTGAAAAGGTCAGACTAGCTGTTCCCACCGACTTCCTGCTCAATATCTCTACCACTGCCCTCAAGGCTTCGGGCAATCAGGCCCCGCCCCGCTCCCCTGCCCCCTCCCCCACCACCCCTCATGTCCTCAGGTGCCAGTCTCACTGCCTCTGGTGAGATCCTCCCCCGCCACCCCGTCCAAACTGGCCCTCACGCAGCCCCCTCGGCCTGTGTTAGGCCTCCTCATGGCACCTAGCGTGACCTGGCATGGTTGACCAATCTGGGCTGGCAGGGCCTTCTCTCTGTTCATGGCTGTCTCCAGCTCAAACACCCTAAATCATTGGGTAGATGAGTGAAGGTGGGCGGGGGGAGGTCCTGTGATCCACTGCCCCACCCCCTGCCTGTTCCAGAGCCCATGCTCCCCAGGGACGAAGGTGCACTCGCTTTCTCGAAGCTCAAATTCAGGTCTGACGGCTGCCTTGGAAGGATGGTGGTATGCGGCCCCCACCCCCGGCTGACCTGGGCGCCTCACACGCTCCCCTGGGAGCTGCAGCCCAGAAACAGCAGTAACAGCTGACGTTTACTGGGCAATTACTGCACGAGCTCGAAGGCGCCGACTGCTTTGCACAGGTGATCTCATTTAATCCTCAAACATCCTTAAAGGAACCCTAGGAGATGCGTCCTGTTCTCCCGTCTTACACATTGAAAGGTGAGCCAAGTTGCACAAGCTCACACTGCTGTCCGGCAGCTCCAGAGCCCTCAACCCTCACACATATACCCAGGAACAGAGAGAAGGGTGTGGTCCCGGGGCCCCGAGGTAGAGGCAAAATGGATGCAAGCCCCCCAAAATGACATTTATCTTGAAAAGATATGAAGGACAAGGCTCACAGCAGGACAGAGCAGGAACCTTTCTCTATCAAGCCTCTTAAAGGTGTTTTATTTGTTTGCTTTTCTTTTTTCTCTTTTTTAAAACAATAATGGCACATTAAAAAAATTAAGAACTACAAAAAAGGACCATGTCTTCGAGTCCATGTTCACATTGTCCTGGGTCGCGGCACCAGGACTGGGGACTCCTGCTGGGATTTCGGCCTCTTGGAAAGGTGCTGGGTGGCTCGGCTCCACCCGCATGGGGCCACTCGGGGGACTCAGGCGCTCTTCTTCTGGGCCCCAGTAGAGGGCGTCCCTGGGCTCTCGCTTCTGAAGCCCCTAGGACCCTGGCCAAACACCACCTCTCTCTCCAAACTAGAGCCAGGAGCTGGAAACGTTAGGGAACTTATTTTGGTCCCCACAGGGGACCAGCCTGGTGACCCCCAGGAGGTCAGGGTGTCTCTCCCCTGTCCTGTCTCCAGCCCAAGCCCAGCTGACGCCACAGTGATGCTCTTGTTCTCCGTCTGGCCCAGGCCCTCCTGCCATGTCCCACGGCCACCCCAGCAGGCACAGGAGTGACAAATGCTCGGCCCCCTCAGCCGACCCCCACCAAGAGCAAGAGGGCTCCCCAAACCCCAGGGCCCTGGCTCAGAAGGGAGGGCTGGGTGACAAGGGGGGCAGGGAGGGAAAGGAGCTGGCGTGAGGGGCTCAGAGCTGAGGCTGCCAGGGAAGGAGAGAAGCAACAGAGGCCGACTGAGGGCTCAGGGCAGGTTCCTCAGACTCTGCAGCGAGAAGCAGGTCCTGGGGCCTGGGGCACAGGCCTGGGCAGGAGCGCCCGGGGAGGAAGAGGCAGAAAGGGGCTCCCATCCTGCCTCTGGTTACCACGGGGGCACAGGCCTGGGTGACATGACCTTAAGACCCCCACCAAAGGGAAACGCCACGCTGCACTCAGCCAGGTCTCAGCCCAGCCCTCGTGGGAGGGAGGGAGCCCACCAGCCCAGGCCCTGCCAGCCCCAGCTCCCCACGGCAGCTCCCAAGGGCACCCCTCCATGGGCCGACTGGACTGTAGCTGGTGGGGTGCCCGGCGGACCCAGCTCCTCCTGCCCCGGCCCCGCCCACACCCTTGGCTCTACTCCTGCTGCTCGTTCATCTCCATGTCGGACACCAGGATGTTCTTCTCAGTGGCCTCGCCGGGGCCGGAGGAGCTGCGGCTGTAGCGGGCGCCCTCGAAAGCTCCGCGCTCGACACCCTGTCGTCGCCGGTAGAGGATCAGGGCCGCCGTCAGCAGGGCCAGGAGCAGAAGCACTGCCATCAGCACCACGAGCAGGGCCGCAGGGCTCCCCGGGAGGGCTGCTGCAGCAAGAAGAGCCCCCGCTCAGAAGCCCCGCTGTGGCACCCACCGCCCGGAACGAGGAGGGGAAGGAGGACAGGGCTAGTCTCAGCCCTGCCTGTGACTCACCTGATGGGGAGAAGCTGCTCTCCTCAGCTGCGGCAGAGGAGGGACCAGTTAATAACAGTAGCAGTGATAATATGATAATAATAAGCAAACACATAAGAACATATTCTGCAGGCCCAGGCACTTCATTTTCTCATTTAATCCCCTTATATGTACTCTTATTACCCCATTTTACATATGTGTAAACTGAGGCCACAGAGTTTGAATGACTTACCCAAGGTCACAGAGTTGGCAAATGGTTTGGCCTGGGCTTGAACCCCATCCCTGCCTTTAACCACTACAAAATGACGGGTTTGCTGTCTAGTTTGGAAATGTGCAGCAAGGCCCAGTCCTACAGACTAATTAATCCCAGGGGAAGGTCCCGGCGGGCCCCAGGCCTGTCTGTCTATTCTCTCCCATCCACTGCACTGTCTGCAGAACGAGAAGCAGTCGGGGCCCCCAGCCAGCACCAGATGCCTGGGGGTGGCAGGAAGCCACAGGTGTGCCTGCCGGGCGCTCACCTCGAGGGAGCTTGCAGACGACACCCATGGTGATGTTGGTGCAGGCGCCTGGGCGCCACAGCCCGCTGCTACTCTGGATCCAGTAGCAGCTGTTGTGGCTCAGCATGCTGGGGCCCAGGCCCGGGGGCCCCCAGTTGGAGTAGTTCACAGCTGTGTTGTCCTGCCAGACCAGGGTACCTCCTGTGGGAAGAAGGCACTGAGGGGGCATTGCAGGGGCGGGTAACAAACTGGAGCAGGTGGGAGAGAGCAGGCCTGTTCTAGAATCAACTCCCACCTTCCTCAGGCCCTCACCTCCACCGAGCCCCGCTGGAGGGCATCGCCCCTGCCGCCTGAGGCCTCCCCATCCTGATCCTACACACAGGGACCCACCTTTGGGGTTGAAGTTCATGCCCAGCCAGGCGCCCCGACTCTGGCCCTCAGAGCTCTGCAGATGCTCCCAGACAAACACGTTCTCCATCTCATCCAGGATGGACAGGACCACCCCACCCTCTGGACACAAAGGAGGCTCACGTCAGGGCAGACAGGTCTCCCCGGGGTAGCAGAGCCCCCCGGAGAGGCCCCCACCCTCTTCCCTGGCAGCCAGAGGAGACGATGGCGTGGCGTCGTGCGTGGAGGGAAGGGGGTTATAGTCACACACGTTATGTCTCGGGTGGTCTGTGCGTATTGCAGCGTGAGGGGCACTTATGTGTGAGTGCTGCCAACAGGTAGACCGCAGCACTGGGACTGCATTCACAGGGGCTTTGAGTGTCCACGAGAGGGGTCGCCACCTGGAATGCCCACATATGGGCTCTTGCCCACCCGGCCCACCTCTCTGGCAGCGCTTCAGCGCCTCCTTGTGGCCCAGCAGCAGCTCCATGTGGAAGGAGTAGCAGTGCTCCCGGAAGGGGATCCACGCCGAGTCCGCCAGCCCCTGGGGACAGCTGCCGCGGTAGCTTATTCTTTGGGGAGGAGGGGGTCCTACGGGGGTGCAGGATTGAGAAAGTGGCCCAGGGTCCTCCCAGGGTCGGTCTACCCCCAGCCCACCCCTCGGCCCCAGCGGGTGGCCACTCACCTCCGTTAACTCCACACACAGCCCCCTGCAACTTGGTGTCACAGCTGGTGGTGCGCCAGGCCCCATCCATGTCCACGTAGGCGCAGCCCCCCGGGTACTGGGGCTCCCAGTCCTGCCAGCTCACATAGCTCAGCGGCTCCTCCGAGACCCAGGAGTACCGCCGGGAGCCCTGGGCACAGACAGCCATCAGGGTGGGAGGAAGGGGACCAGCCGGGGCGGGGAGCAGGTAAGGCATGGGGTTAGGGGGAGGCGGGGAAGGAAATCAGGGGAGTGGGCCCAGCCCGGTGCCCACCTCCTCACTGGCCAGCCCGATCCAGAGTGGCGTGCGCAGCCCTCGGGCAGCTTGCGTGAGGAAGGCCTGGGTGTAGGGGTCGGGCACGTGCGCCAGGCTGGCGTTGTGGCTCTCACACAGCAGGAGGGCGTCGTGCCAGCGCAGCGGCTTCTGCAGCAGCCGGAAGGTGCCGTTGAGGTAGGAGAGCTCAGTGCCCGGGGCAGGGAGCGATGCTGCTGGGCATGGGCTCAGGGAGGGGTCTACAGGGAAGGGGGCAGGGCTCAGGCCAGGCTCTGCCCCCATCACCCCATCCCCAGGCATGAGGCCGGGAGGGGGGAGCGCCGGACATCAGGCAGAGACCAACTCTCCTCTGGGCACAGTGCCTGGCTCAGTGTCGGTCATTGCTGTTATTAGTAACAATATGTTCTTGCTAATAAAGGGGTGAGCAACCTAGAGCTCGACCATGAATCCAGGTCAGAGGGACCCCTGCACGGAGCTGCAGGAGCCTCAGACACAGAACCTCAGGGCCCCTGCCACCAGGCATGCCCAGTGTCTAGCTCTCCCTGGTCAGCCCTCCAAACCCCAAACCTTCCTCCTGAGACCCCTTGGTGCTCACTGCCTTTCCCTCTGATTGGCGCCTGGCCTTTCTGCACATCTGCTTCCCAAGCAGACTAGACTCTGGGGGTGGCCCCAGGGGCCCTCTAAGGTCAGGGACCATGTCTCATTCCTCCTGGCATGGCCCACGGAATCCAGTCCCCGGCTGGGGTTTCCAGGTTCCCCGGTGACACGTACCCGTGCCCTTCTGGCAGATGAAGCCGTGTGTCTCCTCCGCGCAGTTCCGATCATCCCAGCGGCCAGTGAAGTGAGCTGAGGGGCTGTGCAGGACCACCGCACAGCTGGTCTGGGGGGAAGGAGCTGCTCAGGGGAGCCCCGGCAGCTGCCCGCTTGTGCCACTGCCCCCAGAAGGCTGTACTATGAGCAAAGAGGCTGGAACGGGGTCCCCAGGCAAGCACTGCAGGGCAGGGTGGGGGTGGAGGGCAAAGGAGAGAGTGGGGAGGGGCTTCCTCACCGGTATGTTGCCGCTGGGGGCAGGGCTAGGGCCAGAGGGCTCCCCAGGGGCCCAGTTGGTGTACCGCAGAGGCTCCTGCTCTACCCACTGGAAGTCCCTCTGCGAGGCATGGAGGCCAATCCAAAGGTCAAAGGTCACATTGGGCAGGCTGGCTGTGATGAATGCTACAGTCCCCCAGAAGAGAGAGTGATGAGCGACAGGGCAGCCCCCTCCTCGCTCTGCTCTAGCCCTCTGGGGGGATGGTGTCAGAGGATCACGGGGCCTCCCCATGGGCTGGCCCTACCTTGCTCTAAGGGGTTTGCAATGGTGACCAGTTGGGCCTCTTGCTGTTCACAGGAGAACTGTGCCTCTGACCACTTCACCCGGTCCTGGGGGTCCTGGCCCTGGATTCGGAAACACTGTGGGGCGGAGGGGGAGGCATGGCATCCTGCTCCACCTCCCTGTCCCACACACCCAGAAACTCCGCTGCGGAGCCCTCGGCCGCAGGCCCTGGGGAGGCTCGGGGGCTGTGAGAGAAAAACATGAGAACCAGGACATCTGGGTCTCCTTGACCAAGGCTCCGGCACCCTCTCAACCGGCACAGCGGATTCACATACACTTGCCCACACTCCGGGGATTTTTTAAGTGGGAAGATTTCTCCGGGCCACCAAATGCTCTACTACTTGTGACGGCACTGCCTGGGCCATGCCTGGAGACAAGGTCTGTCTGGCTCTCAGCTTCGCATACTCCAAAGGCTTTTGACAGAGTTACTGTATCATTACAATGATGCTAACAAATTAAGGAAGGGACCAATTACATACATAAAATATATTTTGTTTTAAATTAGGTGGAAGAAGTCGTAATAAGCTTTTGGAAAAATTTAATGACATGGGGAAATGCTGAAAATATAATACTGAGAAAGAAAAGCTGGCTACAAAATTGTGTTATTTAGTATAATCTCAATTACGTGGAAAAAGTCAGGAAGTAAATATTGATAGTGGTCATCTCTGGAGAGTATGGATGAGTTTTAGTTTCATTTTTTCTGTTTTTTCCCCCAAGATGTTAATAATACACGTCTTACTCTTTTTTTTTTTTTTTTTTAACGCAGAAAAAGTGTAATATTCGCTTGCATATTCTGAAGACAGCGAGAGTTCCAGGACACTATGGGTGGGCTGCAAGCCAATGTATGACAAAGATTTATGGATTATGTCATCTAGTGTTAACTAATCTAATCCTCACAATAGGGGTTAAGTGGTCTTACAAAGTCCTGCAAAGAAGGCATGGATCGAAGCTTATACTAAAGATGCCAGCGCAAACCACAAGGAAATAGTGCCCTTCTCTTTCTGGGGTAAGCGCTTTCAGCCACTAGGTAAAAACAATGAAGGTCTAATCAGGTCTGATGAATGAGCCCAGGGTCAGGAAGTAACCACTTTTGGAAAGAAACTCACACTCTAGAGGGAACATTTTGAAAATGCATTTAGATGCATATCCATTCTAATTCATTTTATTGTCTCAAACTTTCCTGACTGCACACTCAAAACACTTGGGAAGAGAATTTTCTAAATGCTGTTTTTAAAAAATCTTCCAAGGATTTTTTTTTTTAACTCTCTTGATCAGCTCTTCTGATTAGTTTATAAGGCAGATTAGTTTAAATGCAGAAACTGACCAATTTTTAAACAAAAACCTTTGTTTAATTGGTAGAAGGACTGGAAAATAGAGAGAAGGACTTAGAAAGCCCAGCCAGTGATGGATGACCTTTCTTCATCTTGATCTATTCGTCTTCATGAGGTAATCTTTCCGTCTACAACAACCATTCAATCCATGTTTTAAAATAATTTGAACTTCAGGGAACTTCCCTGGCGGTCCAGTGGTTAAGATTCTGTGCTTCCAATGCAGGGGACGTGGGTTCGATCCCTTGTCGGGAAACTGAGATCCCACATGCCACATGGCCGGAAAAAAAAAAAAAAAAAATTGAACTTCAAACAAGACCTGTGAAGTCTGAATCACAAAGCTTCAAACCAAGATTTTTTCAAATAATGAAGTATATGCAATCACTTTGCTCTTATCAAAATTATTTAAATAGTAATAATTATTATAATTGATAAATTTTGAGTGAGCACAAAATTTTTTTCATACACTAAAAGGAAAATTTTGAAAACTTAAAAATACTATTTAAAAACCTCTAGCTCGGGCTCCCCTGGTGGCGCGGTGGTTGAGAGTCCGCCTGCCAATGCGGGGGACACGGGTTCGTGCCCCGGTCCGGGAAGATCCCACATGCCGCAGAGCGGCTGGGCCCGTGAGCCATGGCCGCTGAGCCTGCACGTCCGGAGCCTGTGCTCCACAACGGGAGAGGCCACAGCAGTGAGAGGCCCGCGTACCGCAAAAACAAAAACAAAAACAAAAAAACCTCTAGCTCATGCTTCATATTGTTTTGTTCTTGTGTATATTTAACTATATATGACGTCAGTCACATTAGTATGTAAGTAAATATATATTTACTTACACGCACATATGTAATGCACACATACGTACTTTGTATGCTCAACATTTTAATAGGAATTCATTATCAAGGTGTTTGGGGACTTTCCTGGCGGTCCAATGGTTAAGACTCTGCTCCCAATGTCAGGGGCACGGGTTTGATCCCTGGTCGGGGAACTAACACCAAACTATACGGGCAACCTCATTACCCGGTGAATGAGAAGGTGTTACTACGCTGAGTTAGTTTCCAAGGAGTCTGGCCCTGGCACTGGGGCCATGCAGAAGAGAGGGTGGTGGGTACAGGCAAGAGGCCATGACTTTGATGCTGCCAAAGGGCGAGGACTCCTGAGGCTCGGCCTTCGCCTTGGGTGCCCCCTCTCCACCTCCTACCTTGCTGAGGAACTGGCTCCAGCCAGGGGGGCAGCCACCTGTGGGTGGTGGGTCTGGGGGCTGCTGCTCTCTGGTGCTGTTGCTGCGCTTGCAGATGTAGGGCAAGGCTGTCATGCACCTCTGGTCCCCCCACTCCTCTGCAGAAAGAGAAGAGCAGTCACCCCAAGGGCAGGGCATGGCTGCCAGCACCCTGGCCTCATGCCCTGAGAGGAGGTGGAGCTGGGGCTCATGTCCCTGTGTCCAGCTCTGAACTCAAGTCCTCTGTGGCTGCTGGATCACAGGGACAGGCCCTCCCCTCTCTGGGTCTAGCCCTTCTTGGGTTGTGGGAACAGAGAGAATAAGAGACCTAGGGCCCCTGCGCAGGCTCACCTCACTGCCCCCAACACCCACCCTCCCCTCAGCTTCTGCACCCTCTCTGCGCCACCTTGTGCTCACCTCGGCTGGCCATCATGTACACGCACTGCTTGTCCTTGCCTATGGGCCGAGGCTTGCCGGGCGCCCAGGAGATGAAGTTTATAACGGAACCATCTGTCCATCTGCAATGGCACCGAGCAGGGGTGACTCCAGCACTGGGCACCGTGCTCCCCTGTATGCAGCAATGAGGGGGCAGGGACCAGAGCCCAACACCAGGGGCTCAGTGGCCGTAGGCTGAGGAGTGGGTCTACTGAGCTCAGTGCAGCTAGAACCCAAGGACCTGGCGCCTCCAGGTAAGGGCCAGCCTTCCTGGGCATCCATTTCTCTAACTAGAAAAGAAGTCTAAGGATCCCAGAGCAGGGGTCCAAGGGCAGCGCTATGCTCAGACACCCATGTGCTCCTGGGCCTTCCATGCCTCACACATGGTAGGTGGGCCGTGAATACAAAGAGGCTCCTCTGGACCATCCTATGTTCTTGCCCATGTCCTGAGGGGACCTTATTCATGAGTGACCCCAGCATAATAATGAGCTGCCATTATTTAGTGCTTGATAATGTGCTGGATGCCATGCTAAGGATTCACATACCTCATTTCTAATTCTCACAATGATCCTACTAGGCAGGCCTCGTTTCATTCTCAGGTGAGAAAACCGAGGCCCAGAAAGGTTAACTCACTTGCTCAAGGCCACATAGCCAGTGGAGGGCAGGGCTGGATTCAAATCCAAATCTGTCTGTCTCTGTATGCTGTGCCGCCTGCCTACCTCCAGCCTGGGTTGGGGCTCGCCATCCACGCATGCGCCCCGCTGCCCATCCACACCCGCTGCCCTGCCAGGGCTCCCACCTGAAGCGCCCGTCGCTCTCTGAAGTATGCAGGCCGATCCACCAGTGCTGCTCTTGGCCCCGAGAAAACTAGGGGAAGCCGGGCAGGCAGGTGAGGGATGGCAGGCCCTTTCCCTGGCTCCCGGGCCTGCACTCCCTGCTCGCTAGCCTGCCCACCTTCTGCAGGTTGTGCCCCAGGAAGTCCAGCTCCGCCTGGCTGTGCACGGAGACCAGCTCGGCCAGGAACCACGTGCATATGCGCTGCGCCTGCACCCACGTGGAGTGGTGCTCGAAGAACTTATACTCCGCCTCCTGGAAACGCAGCCATTCCCGTCGGCCTGCGTGGGCGGAGCGGGCGTGGGGATGGAGGCCAGGCTGGGTCTGCCTGCCCGCCCAGCCCAAGGAGGACAAGGCGGGTCCAGGGCAGCCAAGGCAGGCGGGCCTGTGAGCCCATCCGACCTGGGTCAGTAGGGTGCCCCCATCACCCTTCCCTCAGCTCAAGCCCCTAAGCCCCTTCGTTCTGTCCCGGTCAGGCCCTGTCCAGGAGGTGACGCCCCTTCCCCCCTCCGGGCCGCCGTGGGGAGCGGGGTGCCTCACCTTGCGGGCTGCCGTCAGGCTCCCGCACGTCCGCGCCTATGGGGACAAGAGGGACAGAGACGCTGCAGGGAAAGGGGACCCTCCCCTGGACCCCCGCCCCCTCCGCCCTTCGTCCCATGCCCGGTCCTCCAGCGCCGCCCCACCCAACCTCGAGGGATCTTGCAGATCCAGTCCAACTGCGTCTCGCACTGCATGGCTACCCACTGCAGGGAGGCCAGGTCGAGCACTGCACAGCCCCGGATGTCGTCATCGTCGTGCCGGCTCCGGTCGAAATTGTGGTAAGAGAACTGATGAGGTCGGAAGGGGAGAGGGGTTTCAGGCACCAGGCGCAGGCTGCACCCACCCCGCAGAACAGACCAACCAGAGACCTGGCATAAGCTAGGAACCCCCAACGTGGGCTAGACGGTCCCCACCCCCTTTCCTTTACCTGCCAGCTCTGGCCAGAGGCGCTGCCCCTACTAAACCTCGCGCACCTCCAAAAGACCACACCCACATCCAAACCCCGCCCGCCCAGGCTCCGCCCACCTGCCCCGCCTCCTCCAGGCCCCCTCACCCCTAGTCCATCGCTCCAGCGCCAGCTCTGCCCCGCTCCGGGGTCTCGACGGTTCAGGCCGATCCAGAACCAGTGCTGCTCGTGGATCTCGGGCTCTGACTCACTTTAGCACAACCCGGGGGTGAAGACAGAAGACATGGGGATGAGAGTTATAGGGGCCCCTTGCAATTGTGACTTGGGCAGTCCCAAGGACCTGGGGCCTCTTGATCTGGGCTTCACACTCACCGGGCAAAACACTGTTGGGGCCACCCTTAAAAAGCTCTCCCCAAAGAGAACTGGTCTAGCTGGGCCAGGCGCCGCGCTCACTGCGGGCAGGTGGCCTGGCTCCCTTCCCTTGCTTTCCTTTGGGTGGGGTTTGCCCTGCCAGCAAGACTTCAGGCTTTCACTTTAGGCAGCCGATGGGGACGTGCATAGACCTGGGGCCGTGGAATCAGATACACCTGGATTCCGGTCCGGGGTCACCCAGGGACCAGCTCTGTGACCTTGGGTAAATAACCCAACCTCTCTAACAGCCCGCAAGGGATAATGTCTACTTAGTAGGACTGAGAAGAGTCTTGAATGTGGATTAAATGTTTAGTGCAGTACCTGGTACATGGTGAGAAGCAACTGACACGAGCTATTATAATTACTAGTCAAATAATGTAATTGTGCTGTTTGCTGGGAGGAGATATCCCTGGAATTAAGATGTCAGGAAGCCTGGATCCATTTGGATTTTTCCCAAGGCTAAGGGACTGTAGGGCTGTATGTCATAGGAACCCACAGGACAGAGACAGGGATCTGGAGGGACCCCGTGGGCAGATGCTCACTTTTGTAGCCTTTCTACTCCTGTCTCTCAGAAAAAGCTGTTTATTGAGAAAGTGTGGGCTATGATGGGATGGTGTAGGGTTGCAGGAGGGGGCGCTCACTTGGATCAGCTTGGAGATTCTGCCATGGAGAAGGAGGGGTGGTGAGGGCAGTTACTTGTGTAAAAGTCTGTGAGTCTCAGGGGGTGTTGCTGGCTCTGGTGAGCAACCCAGGGTCTCCGACTCCAGGGAGACCAGGGTTACTTGAGGGGGGGTCAGGATGGGCCTGGCATTAGTAGCAGATGCACAGGTCATTCCAAGCCCTGGAACCGACCGCCCCGGGGTCGCCTTCACCCTGCCCAGCAAAAGCAAGAGCCCGACTCATGTGCATATGGGCCACCGCCCCAGGCTCAGTACCCGAAGATCTTGTTGAGCATATTGGCCACAAAATGCTCCTCATCATAGCTGGCCAGGCTCAGCAGCTGGGCCCCCAGCTCCTGGCAGCCCCTCTGGGCCTGGACCCAGCTCTTCTTGTCCTGCAGCCGCTCCGCGCTGAACACCTGCAGGAGCAGAGTCCAAGCTGTTCCCCAGTCCAGCTCCCCACGGGACACCTGCCCTCCCAGGACACGGGTGGGGAAGGGGGCTGGGGCCTCACTGGACAATCCTGCTCATCAGAGAGGGAGCCCCAGGGGAGGGAAACTGGCACAGCCATCTCCCAGAGATGGTCTCCCTAACCAGCGGGGCAATCAGGACTCTTATCCCAGCAGAGCCACAATTTGCTGTGGGCAAGTCCCTTCCCCTCCCTGGACTTCAGCTTCTTCCTGAAATTAAAAGACCCTGGACTACCTCAGTGGCTCCCAAACCCAGCAGGGTTTAAAAACACAGATTACCAAGCCCCACTACAACCCACTGAATCCCAATCTCCATAGTGACAGCCTGGAAGATTTGTTTAAATCGGGCTCCCCAGGCAATTCTAAAGAGCAGCCAGCCTGGCCCCAACATTTGGGAACCTCCGCAACCGATGGTCTCTGTGGTTTTTTCAATTCCTCAAATATTTATTGAGCACCTACTATGCACCAGGCCTTAGATGCCACTGACAAAAGGGTTTCAACAGAAAGTACCTCTGTCTGTTGTCTGTAAGTTTCTCCGGGGCCCGCCTGCCTGGATCATGGCTGGGTCCCGCTGGGGCCACCCACCCTGCCAGGGATGCTGCCTCTTTGCTCTTGTTTCTCTCCCCCAACCCCAGGCCAACAGGCTGCCTACCTTATAGCAGTGCCGGAGTTTGGGGTCTGAGCCCCAGCCCTGGGGGCAGGCGCCGGTGAGGCTGGGTGTGGGGTCTGGCCCAGGCAGCTCAGGGGTCACTGGCGTGCCCAGGCTCTGCCGGCAGATGTAGCGAGCCCGGAACGACGTGCAATTCTTCACCTCCCACAGCCCCATGGCACTGCCCGTGGCCAGGGCCACGCATCCCCCATGGCTGTACCCTGGAGGAGGGAGAAGGGAGACCCACATGCTGAAGAGGACTCACCAGTCCCCTCACATCCCCAAGGGGCACCACCACGGCCCTCCCACCGGGAATCAGCTTAGCCATCTCTGCAGGGACATGCTCTGTGGAGTCGGGGCCCAGTGGGGAGGAAGGAAATGGGGGCAGAGGCCTAGCTCTATGTTTGCTCCTGTGAGACCTTAGACAACTTGCTTAACCTCTCTGAGCCTGTTTCATCATCTGCCTCATCAGGTTCTTGAAAAAGTTAAAAAAGACGATGAATTTAAAATGGTAATAGTAATAGTGAGCACTTGTATGCTCACTACTCTAAGGGATTTACATGTATTAACCCATTCAAGCCTCATGTCAACCCTGTGAGGAAAGTACCATTATCCCCATTGGACAGATGAGGAAACTGAGGCTCAAAGATGCACAGCTAATAAACTGCACAGTCAGGATCTGAGCCGGGCAGTTTGGCTCCAGAGCCTGTCCTCCTATAACCACATCACCACACTGTACAGACAGAATGATCTGTTTCCTATGAAGCCCTGGGTCTCGGTCGTGGCAGGGCTGGTCCACCGCGGCCTCCTGGCTTCACCAAGGAAAGTCCAAGAAGGGGGCTGAGCGGGCACTGTGGAGGAGGGGCTCACCAGGCTGGTCCCGGTTCCAGTGGGTGTACATGACCTCGTCCCCGCTGAGCCAGCGGAAGGAGCCAGTGAAGTTGAGGTCCTGCAGGGCCGTCCAGAAGTACTCACCATCCCAGTTGTAAATGAGGCTGCTGACAAAGGCCTGCTCGAACCTGTGGGAGAGAGGCTGGTCGAGGCAGGGAACTCGCCCCCCACCACTCCCTGGGCTACAGGCCAGACGCCCTGCTCCAGGAGCCTGGGTGCTGCACCCAATCAGAAACTTGCTCAGGGGGCTCCCTGGGTGGCACAATGGTTAATAATCTGCCTGCCAACTCAGGGGACAAGGGTTCGAGTCCTGGTCAAGGAAGATCCCACATGCTGCAGAGCAACTAAGCCCGTGCACCACAACTACTGAGCCTGCACTCTACAGCCCGCGAGCCACAACTAGGGAAGCCCGCGTGCCACAACTACTGAAGCCCGCCTGCCTAGAACCTGTGCTCCGCAACAAGAGAAGCCACTGCAATGAGAAGCCCGCCCACCACAACAAAGAGTAGCCCCTGCTCGCTGCAACTAGAGAAAACCCGCACACAGCAATGAAGACCCAATGCAGCCAAAAATAAATAAAATAAAATAAATTAATTTTAAAAAATTAAGAAATGCTTTAAAAAAGAAACTTGCTCAGGGAAGTGGGGACCCCTGGGGACCCTGCAGCTGACACACAGCAACCCAGCTCCCCTTCTACTGTCTTCACCTCCATGCCTTGCTGAGGAGAAAGAAAATCAGACACAGCCAAGGTCTCTTTGGGGCATCCAGCCCACACCTATGCCTGTTCCTGCCCCTTCCCAGGACCTGTCCCTGCCCCTGCCCCTGCCCAGTACCTGGCCCATGCTGGGGTCGCTTAATAAACAGGAGTCATTCTGGTGACAATATTAGAAAAAGGCCCTGGAGCCTGTCAAAGCTCAAAGGACTCGAGTCCCTCTGCACTTGATGGCAGGATGCTGCCCCGTTTGGAGGAGGGACCACATTAGGCCGGAACATAGGGGAGGGCTGGTCCCTCTCCTGTACCTGTTGGTGATGGTGACCAGCTGAGAGCCGTGGTCGGTGCACAGGCGCCGGGCCTCACTGTAGGTCACCTGGTCCTCTCCCAGCCAGTAGCAGGATGGGCTGTGCCACGTCCAACCCTGGCTCAAGAGAGTGGGCAGAAAAGGGGTGTCTGGGGGGAAGACTCTCCTTTCTCACCCATAAATCCTGGGGTGCAGGTGCCATCAGTGGCACCACTAAATTTTCTGCAGGCTTGGGCACAGAACAGAGGGGACTGGTTTGACACCAGAGCCGGCTCTTCCTGTGCTGTGTTCTGCACCTTGTCACTCCACACTCCCCTCCCTACCGTTACCCACAACTGCCAGGCCCGGGGTGTAAGCATGGCCCACAGGTGGCTGATTGGGAGACAGCCAGTCACCCGGCCCGTGGCCTGGCCAAGAAAGATGAGTGGCCCACCGGATTCCTCTCTTGGGTGTTTGAACCAAGAGACGCAGTGGGAGAACTGCCAGTTGGCTGGGAAACCAGAGCCAAAAAGCTGGGAGAGCTGCCAGGATGTGGAGGGGGCTGGGTAATTCTTAGGGGCCTGGAAAAGCTGGAGTACACGGAGGATGCGCCTGGCCCACGAGCAGGGGGGACAGACCCTCGGCGAGGGGCAGCAAAGCTGCGGAAGAGAGACCACCCCTCCTACACGGCTGGCTCGCTACCCCCGTCCCCATGAGGCCAGGGAGGCTTCACCCCACCGACCCCTTGTCCCCTGGGCCACCCTGAGGGCCTCTCTGCTCTTGCCTTGCAGGTGAGGACCTGAGGCTCAGAATTACGAGGCTTGATTTTGTACAGACAGTGCAGGCAGAGCCCAGACCGGAACCCACACCACAGAGGTTGTGTCTGTCCCTGCCACAGCCCTGTTCCTCCTAAGATGACACCAGGTGCCTGCCAGGGCCTTTGCCTCCAGGAAGCCTTCAAATGGGATCCCTGGGGGTGGGGGCTGGAGCTTGGGAGAGAGTGAGGTAGCCCCCAGGGCAGGAACCAGCGTAGAGGAGAAAGTGGCGTGTGTGTGTGTGTGTGTGTGTGTGTGTGTACATGTGCATATGTGTATATGTACGTGTGTATGTGTATGTGTACATGTATTTGTGTGTATGTGTACATGTGTATGCGTGTATTGTGTGTTTATGTGTATGTGTATATTGTGCGTGTCTACGTGCGTATGTGTGTATGTGAGCGTGGCCTCTGCAGATGGAGCCGCCAGGGGCCAAAACACAACCAAGTGGCCTTGAAGAGCAGCCTCCCCATGTGTACCCACACTGCTCACACCCCTGCTCCTCTGGGGGCGGCGAGGGGTGGGGCGGATGGGTGGCTGGAGGAGGGAAACAGATCCATCACCCACCCTCACCCTCTTTCATACCTCCCCCACCCCCAACTGATTCATTCCCCCCATTCAGTCCTAATCCCTTCCCTCCCTGGGGCTAGAGCCCCATTCCTCCTGAGGAGACAGACAGGATGGCCCCATTCCTCCTGAGGAGACAGACAAGCACACGCTGTGCCAGCAAGTGAGGTGGGAAAATGGGGCTGGGGTGCACAGAGGGCCAGGGTCTCCCCAGCAGCCTCCACTCAAGGGATGACTGAACTAGACTGGGGGGCCCGCCCACCGCCCACCGCCACCTCCGGGTTCTCCGTGGCTTTCCATGGAGGGGGGCTCAGGGCTAGGGGTGGCAGGGGAGCCCTGCTTCTTCCCAACACCTTCTCCCCCTCACCCCACCTCATCCAACATCACTCCTGGAACGGAGCAGTTTGGAGAGCGGAGGAGGGGGCATGCCGAGGAAGGGACGATGCCATGGGAGGCTGCGGGCTTCCACCTGCCCTCCTGCCCTTGGGGACCCCTCTGGTTGGCCTCACCCGGGGCAGCTCCAGAAGCACCCTCACCTTCCGGCAGCCATGGTCCTCCTCAGCGGCCCCCTGGCTCAGCTGGCCTGCCTTCTTGCAGATGGATGGCAGGGACTGGTTACAGGGACTGTCATTCCAGCGACCTTCCTAGGGACACAGGGTAAGGGGGAGTCTCAATCTATCTCCCCCAAATCTCCCAAACCCCTTCAGTGAACCTGGTTTCCAGACCTGGCCGTGCCTCTGACTTGCTGTGTGATTCTGAGCAAGAAGCTTGACCTCTCTGTGCTCTAGGCTGGAAAATGCGGGGAGCAGGATTAGTGCTACAAGCCTCGCAGGGCTGATGAGGGCACACAGAGTTGATGGGCAAATGCCTTCAAACTTTGACAAGCACTGTCTAAATGCAAAAAGGTGCTCTTTCAAATTACTTACAGCTCATTTCATAAACATCAAGGACAAGCTGGCTAAGACTGTTAGCAGGACAGACGAATGAGATTCCCAGTTCGGCAAGGCGTCCAGCCAGTACCTGCAGATCCAGGGCGAGCAGGGGCCGTGTGCCCAGACCCTCACCTCAGCTGATGGAGCTGAAGAGGAACTTAGTCCTCGGCCCCTCCTAACTGCCTTAGCCCTCCTGTGTCCAGGGCACCCAGCCAGCAGTTTTTGTCTGCCTTGAGCTGCATCTGGAGGGCAGAGGTGTTAATATGTCCCAGCCCCCAGCAGAATGCCTGGCGCATAGAAGATGCTCAATAAATAATTGTTCATAAATTTTTAAATAGCATCCTCTAAGCCAGACGTCTCCACAGTCGCTGGCACTGTTGGCTGTATCTCACAGCAGAATGACCTGTCTCTGGAGTAAGTAGTCTGTCCCTACAGCTTTGTCCATTCTTTAAGGGCCAGACTTATCTCTGCTTGAAGCCCTGGATCAATTCCTTCATCCACCCACACTGTCTGAGCCAAAGCCATGGCAAATAGTCACAGCTCCATCATTTCTTGAGGGGACAGGACCCTGGACTGGGTAGGGCTGGCACGGAGCAGTCCTGCCTGCGGAGCATGTCCACATAATGTGAGCTCTGATGCCACCTACAGGCGGGGAAGTGCGGCTGGCAAGAGACCAAGATCGCACCAGGCACCGTCCTAAGGCTTCACAAGAATTAACTCCTTTAATCCTCCCAGTGACCCTCTGAGGTTGGCACCATTAGAGTTCCACTGACAGATGAGGAAACTGAGGATAGGTTTGGAGGCCCCGTGATAGGGAGAGGGGGTTCTCACCGGCCCCCAGATGGTGACACAGTCCTCCAGGCTGTCCCGGAAGTTGTTGGGCTCAAAAGGATGCCAGTGGGTGAAGCTCACGAGGCTCCCGTCGGACCACTCAAAATTCATCTGCAGTTTCAGATCGTTGAGACCGATCCACAGCTCCTCCACCTCTGGGGTGCGGCCGGGGAGAGGGGAGAGGGGACATCGGGAGGTCAGCCTCAGTCACCGGCAGGGGTGGGAGGGACAGTCCCTGAGCCTCCGGGCGGATGGGATGGGCGTGGGGGAAGCAGCCCCTCACCCTGCTTGATCTGCTTGGTGATGAACTCCAGCTCAGCCATGCTGTGGATGCTGAGCAGGTCGCCCCCGCCCCGCAGACACATCTTCTTGGACTCCTGCCAGCTGCGCTTCTCAGCCTGCAGGCGGTAGCAGTGGCCCTGGAAGGGCTGCCAGCTGGGCTCACACTCCACCTTCACGTTGGCCCACACGTCTGTGGACACCAGAGAGGCCGCTGCTCAGGGACCGAGCTGCCCAGCCCGGGAACCGACCCACTGAGTGTCAACACAGGCAGGGGCCTGGAAGTCACCTCCTCCCTAAACCTGTCACGGATCCGCCCTTCCCACGAGGACAGGTCTGAATACTGAATGATGCTGAAAAGACAAAACCCCCAGGGTGGCTGAAGCCCCAGGAGGTGGTGGCAGATTCCACCCAAGACAGGACGGCCCCCCAACGCTGGGGCTCTCACGGAGAGATAGATGGGGATTCAGGACACACCAGCCCCAGGAGCCTCAGTTTCCTCCTCTGTAAATGGGGTTTCCTGCTGTAAGATTACAACTTAGCTCGTGTCCACCTCACTCAATAAATGACACAGCCATCATTGTCTCAAAGAACATCTATGGAGTGTGGCTCCATCAGTCCGGGATGAAGGGGGTGGGGAAATGGGGCCTCCCAGGTCAGCAGCTCGTGAACTCACCGCTGCCTGGCAGGCATCCCCTGGCTGGGATTTTTACTGTTGATCCTTCCCCCCCACCCCCAGCTCCTCTCCCTGAACCCTAGGGCTGAGAAACCACCCAGTCTTACGCCCTTCCTCACTCCCATTTCCATGCATTTCAAGATCACCCTCTAGGGATCAGGGTCCGCAGGCACCTGACGCAAACAAGCTCCCACTTGGGTCTTGGCAAGAGAAAACAAGACTTTACCAAACCACCCACAACATCAGGCTTGGACAGGATTCTGCTGGCTGGGCAAGAAAGCATGTACCCACTTGAAGCATCGCCCCACTGGGATCCACTCCATCCTGGGAGATGCTCCAGGGTCCAACCATACTGTCTCTTGGAGACCTGGCAGAGTGGGGAAGGGCTGAGAGCCTGAGCACGCTCCCTCCTTGGCTCAAGACCTATCGATCATCTCTTGTCAGTCGCTGAGCTAAGACCCAAGGCTGCCTACTTGGACAGAAGAGTTTAGTGGGTGTGCAGACCCAAAGGCTGTAGGAAGAAGGGAGTTTAGGAAATGAGGACGCTTTGGGGGCATGATGGCGCCTGCCTCTAAAGTGACACGCTTTGAGTGATGAGTCCCGGGAGGCAGAACCACCCAAGAAACTGCTTAGAAAATACACCTCGTACAGAGAGATGTGGGCCAGGATGAAAGAGGAAATCCACGGCTAGAGACATACCTGCAGGTCCGTGAGGCCCCAGAGGAGAACTCCCCACAGCAGCCACACTGGGCAGATCCAGGGGACAGAGGACTTGGTGAGGGGCCAGTCCCGATGGGGGCCACAGAGAGGGCTGCCCACACCGGCCCTGTGGCCCTCCTTTCAGAAAGGGAAGCCCTGGAACTGGTGCCTGCCCCAGGCTCCCCCTGAGCTGGAGGTGAGGTGCCCTAGATGTGGGTGCCAATGTTTGGAACCTTTGCTCCTGACCCCCAAGGGGGTGAGGAGAGACAGTGGTAGCCAGTGACCCTGAATCAACCTTTGGCAACACTTCAATGGTCAGAAGCAAAAGTTTTGCTCTGTATGCTCTTACTTTCTGTTTTGTGGATTTTTTTCTGGTTTTGCTGTATTTTCCTTGTACAAATCCCGTCTTCACCCCATGGCTACTGGACTCCCGCAGTAGCCCCTCCAACCTAAAGAGACGCTCCTTTAAGCCAGGCCAGGTCTCCAGCCTTAAAGCAACCCTGCAATGGGTTTGAGTTTATCCTCAATTTGCACCTCTGAGACTAAGCTGCCGACCCAAGGCCACACCCCAAAGCGGTGCCGGCCTCTAGAGCTATCTGAATCACAAATGTGAGCCAGACACTCCCTGCCTTAAAAGTCTGCAAAGGCTCCCACAGCCTACCTGGCCCCACCCAAATTTCACCCAGAAGCCAAGATCCTTCAGGAACTGGCTGCAACCTGCCTTTCTGAACTGTCTTGTTCCCATGCCCTCTAATCCAGTACTTTTCAAACTGTACCTGCACATGAATCACCTAAGGATCTTGGGAAATGCAGGTTCTAATTCAATTAATTGGTGGGGGGTGCACCTGAGATTCTACATTTATAACAAGCATTTATAACATCACCTGGGAAGGTGACGCTGCGCTGCAGGACGGCGGACCACACTTTAAGTAGTTAGCGCCTATACTCTAACCCTTAGTTAGGGAGCAATACTCCCCGTCCTTAAAGCTGCTGTGAACTTCCAGGCCACCGTGCCTTTGCACCCGCAGTCCCCTCTGCCAGGAATGCCCTTCCCTCACACCTCTTTATGCCTTTTTAAACTTACACTCAACTTGAAAGGCCCAAATCCAATGTCACTTCCAGGAAACCCTCCTCAAGTCTCTGGAGCTTAATCAATTTCTTCTCTAGGCCTCTCTGATATTTATTATACATGCGTCTTATAATAGCACATAACTCAGGATATTCCAATTGAATGTTGAGGTGTCTGTCACCTCCAACAGGCTGTGACCACCACGAGGACACGGTGAGTCAGGAGGCATTGAACACTGTGCTCAACGAACGTTCCCGGAACGAATTAATGGCACATTTCAGTTTGTTCAGACTTCAGCTGAACCATTAAATACAGAGGGTCAGAGCCCCCTGTGCTGGGAGGCTGAGCCGCCGGCGGCTGCGGCCCTGACGAGTCCCAGCCACGCCCCGCGGCTGCCAGGCTCACCTGGAGGCGGGGGCTCGGCGGCCGTGGCATTGGGCTTCTTCTTGCAGACGTAGGGCAGCGCGATGCTGCAGTCGCGGTTCTGCCAGCCGCCCGACGACTCCGTGCGGATCACTCCGCAATTCTCCTCGCTCGGGTTGTCCGGCTGATCTGTGGGGAGGGCAGGGCGCCAGCGCCCCAGGCAAGAGAAACTCACCCCCTGGCCCGGGAGCCCTACCCCGAACCTCATGCTCCCTCGGGAGACCTGAGCCCACTCAGATGCCCAGCGCCCCGCTTCGGCCCTCCTGCTGCCTCACCTGGGCCCACGTGGCCCTGGAGCCTCTGCGCAGCAACCCGTTCCAACCCCGCCCGCCCGCCCTGGCCAGGCTGCTGGTGCGCTCGGTGCCCCGGTGCCCGCGGCTGAAGGGGTGCGTGGAGAATAAGAGATCCAGTCCCCCTCCCAGGCCCTGTGCCCCGAGGAAGGGGCATCGGTTCCTAATTCAGACAACACACGCCATGGACCAGTGGCGCCCAGTCCAGAAGGGAGTGGAAATCTGCCCCCACCCTCACTGCTCTCCCGGAGTAGGGTACCAGCGAAGGAGGAAATAGCAGACCAAGTGCCTGTGCGGTGGTCCCCTGGCCTCCCTGCGCCCCAAACCCCGCGCCTCACCACTCTCCCAGTTGAGGTACTTGAGAGGCGAGTTGTCCGACCACTGCCAGCCTCCGCTGGTGTCCAGGTCGTTAAGGCCAATCCACAGTGTGGAGCTATAGCCAGTGAGCAGCCCTGACAGCAAGATGGCGACAGTGAGGAAGGGGTCGCCCCATCCCTGGCCCTCCACCCTCTGCCCCACCACCAGCATCCTTCCCCCCACCAGCAGAAAGGGCTCAGGGCCCTCCAAAGGCGGGGCAGGTCTCAGGCGCCTGCCCCCCGCCCTGCCCCAGCCTCACCATTGATGTAGGTCTGCTCATGGATCTCCGTGATGCTCAGCAGATCTGCCCCCTGTTGCTCACAGCTGGCCCAGGCCTCCCTCCAGGACAGCGTGGACTGGAAGTTAAACTGATAGCAGCTGTCCGTCAGCTGGTCCTTGTCCCAGAAGGTCTCACAGTCGTTACCTGCCACCACGATAGTCAAATGTGGGTCCCTCCCCAGCCCTCTCCTGCAGGGCCCACAGAGGGTCCCTCCAGGACTGCAGTGACCCCACACAGGCTGCCCCGTGCTACGAGGAGAGGCCACTTCCCACTCTACCCCGCAAGTTCCCCCACCCGCACGCGCCCCCCAGGGCCAGCCTCCCGCCAGCCCCGCCCGCTCCACACTCACTCTTGATGGGACAGAAGCCCCAGCGCTCGTCCTTGCCGTAGTCCTGGGTGGTGGCGCACCACAGGTGCCCGTCCTCGCGGCCTGTGCTGGTGCAGCCGTGGAACCACTGGTTGTCATACTTGAAGGGGATGGTGCACGGCTTCCCGTGGGAGTTGCCCTGGATGGTGTAGACCTCTGCAGGAGAGGGGAGCCAAGACCTTGGCATCTGGACCCCAGAGGCTGCCTATCCCTCAGACAAAAACCCCCTATAACCCTGGGAGCCAGGGTGGGCAGGGGTCAGCAGAGAGTGGGAGAGGCAGTGGCACCAGACTGTGGCTTTAACGCTCCCTCTGGCGTCAGGTCAGCCCAGGAGCCTGGGAGAGGGCCTACCACTCATCCCATAGGGCTGGGAAGGGGGCCCCACAGTGCCCCTTAATGCCTGTCCAAAATCCAGCTGCCCCTCACGCCAAATTCTATCTTGGAACTCCCAGAAAAGGACCCTTAGGATGAAGCTGCCCACCAGGAAAGGCCTCCCTCACTGGGTGACTCTGGTTCCTGTTCACCCCTGCAAAATGGGGATCAAGACACCTGTGGAGGATTACCCTGGGGTCTCCCCTGAAGAGTGGGCCTAGGGGAAGGGGTTTCTCATTTGATTTTACGTTATACACTGTTGTACTGTCTGAGGTCTTTACAAGAGTGTATTAACTTTGTAATTTTTTAAAAAGCAAATTATATGCTTTGAAGTTCATTTTCTCAATTATTCCAAAATGCTTCCCATTGCAATGAAAGAGGTGACTGCCAGAGGTCTGCGGAGGCCAAGGTTTTGTCACCCCAGCATCTGCCCTTGTGGCTCTAGGCTCCGGACACGAGGAGCCCCAGCCCTGCCCTGCCAGCAGCCTCTCACCATAGTAGGGCCGAGCACACAGATCCTCATCGCTGCCATAGATGCGCCACTGGCCACTGCGGGTCTGGTCGCCGCGCTCAGGGGTGCCAGCCTTGGACGTGTTGCTGGAACGGCCCCCCAGGAGCAGGGACAGCTGGTCACCCAGTGTGCGACAGTGCCAGCGAAGATTCAGTGCCTCCCGGTCACACTCGTACATGCCCAGGGAGGCGGTGGTGTTGGTGCCCGGCCAGCCTGTGCCCAGGCACTGCATGGTGCCCAGGTTGAAGAGCCGGTTTCGGGAGACCCACTTCCAGCGCTGGGCAGGAAGGCTGGCATTGCAGGCTGGGGAGACTCGGACTTGCCCACCTTGGGTCTCCAGGCAGCCCTTCAGTCCATGGCTGAAGATGAGGAAGACGTTGGGTTCTGGAAGGGAAGGCAGGACACGAGGCCATCACAGGGGTCTCCTGGCCGCCCTTGACGGTCAGGCCGCCTGCAGACACTGACCATGATCCTGGTGCTGGGTTGTGAGCCTTCTCTCATATGATAAATCACTCAGTCTTCACTACTGGCCCTTTGGGTGTTGGCAAGAGGCACTGCTGTCCCCCTGCGCCCAGTCAAGGCAGAGCCTAGGCGACCAGCCTCTGTTCTAGCCTCATGCCAACTGAAGGTAGGACTCAGCCTTCCGTCCCACCCCCCCAAAGCAAACCCAACTCCAAATGGCAAGTTGGGAACTGTTTACTTTTCTGAAGATCTTATGAGGACGGTGAAGGTGTTCACATCACACACCACGCTGCAACCTTTATCCCAACCTCTGTTACATAGCGCTATCTTTCCGCCAGAGTTCTCCAGCCTGGAGTCGTTTTGTCTCACTCTCCCCTCCTGCTCCTCAGATGCAGTGGCTCCATCTTTTCCTCTCATTTAGAATCTTCCCAAACCACTCACCACACCCGCCCCCAGCAAAACCCAACCATTCACGTCCCATAACCATCTCACTCCTTAGATTTTAGACAGAGCTTAGCTCTCTGGCTTCCCCAATCCTGCATCTTCTCACCCATCACCTCACTGAGCAGACACTCTATGAAACACATTGAAATCCAACCTGTCCCCTGCACACCTACTTTACAGATGAAGAAATCAAGATTTAAATTTATAGGAGGTAGATCAATGGTTGCCTGGGGCTGGGTTGGGGTGATGGGAATGGAGAGTGACTGGGGAAAGGTACAGCGTTTCTTTGGGGGGGGGTGATGAAAATGTGCTAAAATTAGATTGTCATGATAGCTGCACAATTCTGTGAACATACTAAAACCCAATTAAAGGCACATTTTAAATGGGTGAGTTTTACAATATGTGAATTGTATCTCAAAGCTGTTATTATATCTTAAAGTGTTTGAGAGAGAGAGAGAGAGAGAGAAAGGAGAGAGAGCTTGACGTGAGCTTGAGCTGTTAAGTGACCCACTCATGGTACCAAACAGCCAGTAAGCGAACCCAGGTCTCTGTGACACCCACGTTTCACCACCTCCTTCTTGTTCCTTAGCTGCCACTTAGTACACGACACACACATGCAGCACATCTCAGTCTCCAAAGCACGTCTGCATCCACTGGCCCTTCAGGATTATTTTCATGCCTTGAAAGCATGAGTCTGACTGCTAGGGTTCAAATCTCTGCTCTGCCACTTAATGTGTGAGTTGGGCACGCTGCTTGGTTTCCTCATTGTGAGACTACTGTAAAGGTTAAATGAGATAAGACACGTAAAGTGTTTGGAACAGGGTCTAGCACACAGTAAGAGCACCATAAATGTTGATGATGATGACGATGAGGATGATTCCATATTATAGGCAAAGTATTTGACTAGGGGTAGTAGAACAATTTGACCAGAGTCACAAGGCCGAAATTTGGCCCCAGTCTTCTGAGTCCAAACCCCAGACCTTTCTGTTCCAGCATGCTGGCCTTCGCATTCCTCTATAAGTCATTCTTCATGGCCAAGGAGCATGATCTTTTAAAGATGTAAATAAGTTGTAAAAAAAATTTTTTAAATAATATTGGAGTGTTGAAGGTCATAAAGAAACCAGCAATAACTTCAATAACATAATTTTTTCATGGCATGAAAAATGCCATAAAAAATCAAAATTCAAGTGACAAAAATATGTGTAACTTACTAGAGGCAAATAGCTTATTGCCTAAAATGAAAAAAGTTTTTATAAAAAATACAATAAATTATGAGTAAAATGGCACCAAGATAGTAGAAAATGAATAAAAGATATGTATACACAGCTAAAAAAAAAAAAAAAAAAAAATATACAGCACAACCTTTTCTTAAAGGTCACATATCCAAAAAAGAAAAAAAAAAAAAAAAAAAAAAGAAATGCAATTGGTTCTTAAATATTTGAAATGACAGCCTCTCTCATAGTAAAAGAAAAGCAATATAAGTCAGATTAGTCTCTCTCCTGCCTTCAAAGGCAATTCATCATTCTGCAAATAAAATTCATACTACTTACTATGAGCCACAAGCCCCTACGTGTTCTGGTCCTGCCTAGCAGTCTGATCTCAGATCATACTACTGTCCCTTGCTCAAGTCAAGGACCTCCTTGCCCCTTCTTGAACAGGCCTCTTTCCTGCCTCAGGGCCTTTGCACTGCTCCCTCTGCCTGGCATTTCACATTTCAAAAAAAGTCACGTCTTTAGAGAGGCCCTCCCTGATCTCCCAATCTAAAGTGGTAACCACAGTTATTCTCTAGCATAATTCTCTTCACAGCATTTATTGCTATCTGGTATTTTTTCCAACATCTGGGTTATCTGTGAGTCTGGGCCTACTGACTATTTTTTCTGTTGATTATGCGTCACTTTTTCCTGCTGCCTGCATGTCTAGTAATTTTTATTACATACTGGATATAGCGGATAATGTTACAAGGAGTCTGGATTTTTTTTTTTTTGGCATATTGGACTTGTAGATGACATGTTACAGGGAGTCTGGATTTTTTTATCTTCCTAACAAGAATGTTGGGGTTTGTTGTGGCAGGCAGTTAAATTACTGGTGGATCACCTTGATCCTGTACAGGCTTTGGTTTTAGTTTTGCTAGGGTGGGGTTGTTTGGGTTTTTCTGTTTAGTCTTAAGGTGTGGCCCTTAGCCTTGGGTTTAATCATAGATGAGGCCTTCTAGAGTTTTAAAAGAAAACTTAGGCAATTACTAAGCTCCTCTAACTTGGTGGAACTTGAATTCCAAACTCTTGTTTCCTCAGCACCAGGCAGCAGCTGCAATCTCTTCCTCCCAGCTGCTGTTTCTTGCTGGGTTCCTTAAAGCTTCACTCTGCCCACGCACAGCTTAGAAGCTGCCAAGGGTTTGAGGAGAATTTGTAGGAGGACATCTCCTGCATTTCCAGGATTTTCCCTCTTGATTTTTAGCTTTTCTGGTAGCCCCACACTCTGACCAGTAAAGACGTTTGAGCTCCTCAGCCTGGGCAGTGCTCTCAGGAGGAAAAGCTGCGGAAACGAACCACTCGCTCATCTGCCTCTTCTCTTTCAAGGACTGTTTCCTCCCCAGCATCTGTCTGGTTTTGATTGCTCTCAAACCACTGTATTTTATATTTTGTCCTTAGTCGATAAGGACTCTTGGCCAGAGAATTAGACTAATACAAGCTAACCTGCCATTTCCAGAACCAGAGCTCATGATCTGACATGGTTTTATTTTCTGTCTCCCCTCTTGTTCAGAAGCTTCCAAGGGCTTTATCTTCACGCTATATTCCCCGGTACCTATAACTCTGCCTGACACACGGTAATACTTAATAAAATAACGAATGAATGAATGAATGAATTTCATGCCTAAATAACAATCACAACCAACCCGTCTAACTTTCTGCTCCTTGTCCCGGCTGCCAAATTCATTTTCCTAAAACAGAGCGCCCACATCTCCTGTCGCTGCATGTTTGAAACTCCACAGTGGGAAGGCCAATGGGGAGGGACACTCCACAGTGGGAAGGCCAATGGGGAGGGACACTGGTCACTCTATTCACCTATTCACATGGGTGACTTCCTAAAGGACCAACGAGGGTGACTGCCACAGCTAATCCTCCCCCCGCTGCCCTCACCCCAACCCTCCCTTCCGGCCTCCCTCCAGGAACCATAAACTGGCCCAGGACTTGATCCAGGCCTGTCTGAGCATTTGATTGGATCGGGCATTTGATTCTCAGAAACTCCACTCCAGCGAGGAGAGTCAGTAATAACAGAAAGTGGCCCTTGGCAGGGGGTAGGGAGAGGGCGTGAGACCGGAAAAGGGAGAAAGTAGTGCTTGCTTTTATAGGCGCTCTTGGAGATGGGGCTGGACATGCAGCTCAAAATGTCACAGGAGCCCACAGCAGCCCAGGGGGACAGTATCTCCCCTTCCTCCCTGACCAGAAAACCGACGCATGGTCTACATCAAGCCGTAACAAATGGCAAATGCAGGGTCTGAAGGAGGCCCATGGGGTCGGGAGACGCTACCTTCTCACCTCTCGGCAGATGAGGAAACTGAGGCCCAGAGGGGAAGACAGCAGGATGCCCAATCGCAGTACCTTTCAAGGCCTCCATTTCCTCCTCTGTCACATGGATCACTGCTGCAAGTCCCCTCCTCACTCTGCTGTCCTAGGTTCTGGGTTCAAATCCAGATATCTACCTGGAGCACCTGCTATGTGCACAGTACGTCCCAGGCAACGCGGGGAACACGGAAGCACCATCCTAGTGCTTCCTAGAACACACAGCACCACCCTAGTTAGAGAACAGTGGGTTTGGACGCAGCAGGACATGAGGGCAAAGGAGCCCTTCAAGTCCAGGTGTCTGGGGGTGGCGGAGAGAGCTGAGTCTTCCTAGTCTGAAGTCACTGAGGATCCGCAGGAAGCAGAAGGTGAGGAATGCGGGTCACAGAAGTGCCTCGGCAGTGGTGCTGGCAGCAAATGAGAAAAGGATAAGGAATTTGGGAGCTGCGGGGAGGCTGAGGGCAATTCTCAGCAGTGGAATCCAGGGGCTTTGCTAAGCAGGGGGCTGGGGGGCTTTAGGGAGAGCATTTTCCACTCAGAGTCGAGGGGTGGGAGGAAGGAAGCTGTTTCTCCAGGGGCCAATGGAAGCAGAGATGAAGCCCAGCCTTGGCCGAGCTGGAAACGCTCAGGCGAGAGGGAAGGGAACCAGGCATTCTGAGAACTGCCTCTGTGTACTTTGCATCCACGGTCGGCCTCTGCGGGCACACAGGAAGCGGCAGAAGGAGCTCAAAGCGCGGAGGCCTGATGCCCCCCACCTCCCAAGAAGGTCCCCTCCAGCCTCACCCAGCCCCCTAGGCTCGCTCCACTCACTTGGGGAGCCTCAGGTGGCAGTGCAGGGAGTGGGAGTGGCCCTCACTAGGACCTCGGTAGGGTCCTCAGCAAGGACAAAGATGACCCCTTGTATCTGGATGGCAACCA